TTTGCAAAGTCATTATATGGCAATATAAATCACATCTGTATATGCATAAAGCCATATATAGTGTTTCATTCAATTCCTCTCACATAAACACAAATTCTCATCCACGTTCAATTAATTATATTCACTATTCTTAAATAAAGGAACAGCATAGTTATTGGTTTTGTCCATAGCCTGGTATTCCGCATAGAACTGTATGTTCCAAAATCTATATCTCCATATTCCATTTTGTAAAAATGTAGAGGGTACTTACACAGTTATTTTCGTTGGAAAGAGTTGGTGTTGATCACTGGACAGCCAGCGGAAAGAAGATTCAATTTCCGGAACGTGTACTGTTTGGAAAACTAGTCAATGGATGAACTACTGAAACACTGCTTCTCTTAAGGACTACCACCTTCACAAACCTCTAGAATTAATACCCATTTCATATTACTTGTAATGAGGAGAGTCTGTTTTGATTTCGTGCAGAAACAAATACTTACTGCTGAAGTTCTGGAATCGTTTCATTAAAGCCACATCCGTCCGCATTTGTGGGCAAGACTTTCTGCTTCATTGAGCCATTAGCAATAGCTGTCTGAGTTCCAAACACCACCCAGGACATGAAGATCAAACTACTAATGCTTCCTGCTAAGGCACCCTGAAACATTACTTATATAACTTTACTGTTTACTGAACTGTACTGAATTGTAAACTTCAGACTGTCGTTTCTGTGAACTTACCTTAGAATTTCCTCTAGGATAAAACATTCCGAAAGAAAACAGTCCCAGCGAAGCTCCACCTGTGACTCCTCCAACACTCAGTGCGAGCTGAGAACAGTATTAAGAAGAATGTTACTTAATTACATACTCATACACTATAAAGAGGCCTAATCACCACGCTATGAGAACGTATTGAAGTGAACTAGTTAAGATCTAGGTACGCTCAACGTCAGGACTTCATTGAAGTGATAGGACCAGCTTTAAGCTGTGGCCGCTTTACCGCCAGGAAAATTTCCTCCGGTGTAACTTGCTAAGAGCCTGGATGAGTCCAAGGCCGGTTTGGAAGTGAAGAAAATATTTCCTACTCTTGTCAGCAGTTGAACCGTATTTGTCCAAAATGTACCCAGTCACTTTCTGATGAGCTATCTTGTCTCATGTCGCATACGAAGCGAAATGGTAAATTCTTATATTAAATATTAAGATTACAAGAAATTAAATGCGTGTACTGAAAATGTAGGGCGTTGATATCCATTTTAAATTTCTGGCTAACAATTTAAATGTATTCGTTTTTGTGTTTCAAATTTACGACTACTATTACAGATTAACCATTTACATTTAATTAGTCTCCACCGGATATGTCTGAATAACAACCGGCGATTATACAATTTCGCTGTTTGCAAATTATACATAATCACCGGTTATTATACATAATTAGGAATTAAACACTATTTCCGTATAATGGGAGACTATTATGATATCCATATAATATTCATATATGATGGAAATGAAGTTTATTGCTCATTTACTAGGACACGTCCTAAATTATGTTTAAAATAACTTGTTATTTTTATGTCAAACACAATTTCGGAAAACTGCGTATTTGTACAATATTACTAAATCTCACAATGATTGCTACTACTTAGGTATTTGCTAGAATTTCGGCCAGAAACATTTTTAGCCTCATGATATAAACTTACTTTAATAAAACATTCTGTCTTTGGTAAAGAAAGTGACGCATATCGCGTTTAGTCCGTACCACCCAAATATCAGTAATTACATTATTATGATATTCGTACATGTGAAGGAAACATTAAGAAATGTATTGAAAATACGAGAATATATGAATGGACGAGATAAGTATGTACTTTATAATTACATATTGCAGAACGCGTTGTCAATTGCTTATTCTACATTCTTTATGATACAGTAATTTCCATAAATACTACGAGTGTGATCTGTGTGAACCACAGATTGTGTCACAGTAATAGCTTAACTTCAGTGGAACATTATATATTGATTGGAACAACAGTCGATATTATGAGGTTATAGGTCAATTAACTTTTCTCTTGCGATGAACCGCGTTAATAATTAACATTAAATTAAATTCTAGTTGGAAAGTGTTTAACTTTCTGCAGTCTTGTCTTTGTTTATGTTTCTACTAAATCTCTCCCGCCAACGAATTGCCAGAGAAAAAAAAGAAAACTTCGCGGAAAATAGTCCTTCTTGAGAATCTGATAGTAGTTTATCAACTCGAGAAGTATCTTTCGTTTTCGAAACCAAATGTTCATTACTGCATTCTGTTCTAAGCCAGATGGAACTAGCCCACAGCCTCAAAATTTAGTTTGAGATCTTGCCCGTATATTTACGTAGATCTCCAAATGCATCTTTACTTCAAAATATCATTTATCGGTTGCAGGAATTATGAAATTTTAGTACCTCGTAAGTTATCAAATAACACTCTTAAAAAAATCCCTTAACCAAAAACTGAATCAGATGATGTGGCTATCTACAGTATTGTGTATTGATCTTAAGATACTCTACGATTCATTTCTTACAATTATGTTAAGAGAGACGTATTTATAAAACATTCTTACCTGTAGAATACTACCTAGCTTGTCAACAACAAACACTGTAAGTATACATATGCCGCCTGTTATAACGACGATACTTTTAATGATACTGTTCGCTGTGTTGTCTGCAACCTTGTTCTTCATGCAAGGGCGTATGAAGTCTTCGAACAAAGTCGCACCGAGAGAGTTGAGGTTACTTGACATGGTGCTGCGAACACAGAAACGCTAATTTATGGCTCCCATTTGTTGTTGTTTTTCCTGCTAGGATCTGAAGTTTTACATGCTTCAAAGTATTGTCTGTACATTTGACATAATTATCAGTGCTAACGAATGAAATGATATTTCTTATCGGCGTTGGTTATGATAAAACTTCTTATGGTGGCTGTATTCCTGGTTGCTGGGCCGTGTAGTCTGATAGAAGTTTGCCCTTATGATGGAGGCAGCAAGGACCTCTGGAACGTCGGTAATCTTCTACCAGAGTACAGCCATCTTCAGCCTCAGCGCCATGACAATCTGAAATCCTGCACAAAACTTCTTTCTTTTAGCCCTGACGAAGACGACTTTTTCAATATTTCTCCCTGTTTTTAAGGCTGGAGTTCAGTTAGCCGTGTCTCACCCCGAAAGTCGAAGTGTACATCTATTTTGAGGCACTAAAAGTCTTATGATTTGTGATTATCCCCTTGTCTCCCGTTCCCCTACCAACCACTTGTACACTGTTTGTTCATCTGGAGAAAAGTTTTGACTCAGCAGTGCCGACCCACACAGAATTTCGATAGCGGTAAATCTGTGGCTAGAAATTTATCAGTTGACAGGTATTCGTTAAAAGGCTATATTACGTACAGTTAAGCTCTTGTGCTTTTGACAACGTTCATCCACATATATGCCCCATAGTTTGACTCTTTTACCATTGGGTTAAAAACCACACAATAGTTTTGAGATGGACCTTATTAAATTGCAAACGGATCACGGACACATTCATGAATTTGCTCTCTTTCTTTAACTTCTAAACATTCATATCAGGATCTATAATCTCCTGAAGATTCATGGTCTTTGAATTATTTCATATAAGCCTATCAAGTATCAATAACTTGTTGGGTCAATTAATGAGATAAGAAACGCATACAAATTGTTAGCTGACTTCAGTTTACAAAGAATTCTGGGAACTTATTTATCATCTATTTCAGCTTTCCAGGAAGGATATTGCTCCACATAATTAAATCCAACCATACGACGACTGTTTACTTACCATCTTTTCATTATTGCATTTTAATTTCAATACTTTCGCGATATGTGCTTACAAATTAACGCAAGCCTTTATGGAAACAAATAATCGCTTACCTCAAAGCTGCGCTCAGAATCCCTGCCAGGAAAAGTCCGGCTAGTCCTGGAATGTAACTTGCTACGTCCATCACGTAGTAAGTCAGTAGCTGATCAGGACGAGAGATGGCCTGCGAAATTTGTTTTCCTAATAAGCATTATTCTCGGTAATTTGACCAATATTATCTGAAAATCTGTCAAATTTAGTAAAGCTACTCTCTCCATTGAACAGCGTTAAATTAAGTCTGTCAATTCTTGTCTTCTGGATTCTAACTTTCTGAAGGTGGCTTATGGTCCTTCGAGAATCGGGTATCAAATTACAAGTGCTCATGACATCAACATTAACATCTTCAATACTGTTTGTAAACAGACCATAACTTTACATCTGTTATTGTTTTTATGATTTCAAAGCATTGATTTTAAGAGTTTCTGCAAGTGAAATTAGACAAATTCGTGCAGCGAGAAAAGTAATACAGTACGTGTTGAATGTGCTACATGAGTAACGGTCTCTAACGTTTTGTAATTCCTCTTCTGTGTAGGGCATACCCGCGAAATCTAAAATTCATCGTGCATAATCGAAGAACAGTTTTGCTCTCATCACAAGGGAATTTTCTCCAGTTCTTCTCATTTTCTCTTCCCCTTTCTGTGGGGAATTCATCTTAGGGTCGTACAGATGCGGCGTTTCTGCAGCTTAATTTGATGCTAATCGTTTGAATAAAATATTCTACGTGCTTTCTACCATTTCGATGAGGTAGTTTGCTAACTGTTTTAATATACTTAACCAGGGCTTCTCAGAGAGTAATTACACTTTGTTACCAATCATTTCGATGCCCGAAAGTTAATATTTATATTATTAAGAACTTGTACTGTTTGATATTTACCAAGATACATACCTTTTACAATTAGAAATTTAAAAAAAATATTATACTTTTTCACAAAAATAAATTTATCCCGCTTAATAATATTACCTTCGTTTTAAGTGGATCACAGTCGTGGTACGTGGAAAACATAAGAAGGCCAGTGAAGCAGCTGATAGATTTGAATGTGATTAATCCGACTATGAAGAAAATAAGTGATCTGGAATGGATTGAAGTTGTATGTTAATAACTTTGATGTGCCGATTAACATTAACATGATATTCTATTCAAACTTTCCATGACACTGATAATAGGCGTAGAGAAATAAATGCTGTGCGTACTAACCAAGTTTTGTCACAACCGTTTTTTTCCCCATGATTTGTCATCAGTGAACAAATATCATCACAATGATCTGCATGTAGCGTATCGTGATATGAATTCGAAAATGTTAAACTATTCAGGCAAATAGGGAAATAATTTAAATATTGTTTATATCAGAAACAGCGGTTACCTTATGGTAATTTATTTCCACATAGGTCCACACGATCTACACTTTTTTAATTCGCTTCCAGAGTCTTTCAAAGAACAAGAACATAGAAAACAGTGTCAGTTATTATAAAGTAAATACTTTGCTGTATTTGAGATGTAATTCAGATTGTTTTGGTACGGAATAGAAATCATGTGAATATATTTCAGTTTATTTCGGGAATTCAATTTAATACTCTTATTAATAAAAATTACACCCAGAATAAATCCCTTAAATATATTCTAATATTTTGTTTTTCTTAAGTAACGCTCTTCAAAATCGGTATAATTCATTCTATGGATTCTTTGAAGTTAAGTTTTAGTACATATGTTCAGCGAAGTCACTTCCTGCCCAATTAATTAAATTTTAAACAAATGTCTGTCTACTTAACTCACCTCAAATAGGTGCATTTAGAATAAAGCAAACCACTTTACGTAACTTACTTGCGTGCCCTAGATTGTGACGACAAGGTCAGGAACTTCTGCACCATGGCTTGGTTTACTGCAAGGCCCATCCAGGCTACGGTGTTCCCGAGAACGACAGACCAAAATGTCAATCTCCGGAAAGGCGAAGGATCAAATCTGAAAATATATTTCGTTTACAATTACGTATTTCTTTCTCAGATACTACACGAGATATAATTTAAAATTATGGTACGGGAAAAGACTACAGAAAACGCAAAAATTATGAAGATAACCGGGATTACATTGATCTAAACCTCTAACTACGACGTGTGGCAAAGCTTAAATCGAAGTGTACTTTCAGTTATTTTTCCTATAGGTGCTTACCTGAAATCTCCAAAAGAACAACTTAATGTAAGATTTAGCTAATTAAATTAGTCTTATATTAAGTAGAGTATGAATGTAATGAAGGAATATCTTGCCAAATATTGTCTCATTGACAATTTCCAGAACCGGCCTGCAGTCCAGCTTTGTCGTAAGTAGATAATAAATCACACACATTTCTAACTCCATGTAACAGTCGTTTTTGAGAAACTAACAATAGGTCATATGGTTAAGAAATTTCTCGCCTCTTATGGAACCGGAAGATTTATTACTGTGTTTAGAAAAGCCTACGAAAGGTCCCTATTTTGAGCCAGATGAATCCAATTCAAATCTTTCAATTTTATTTCCTAAAGATCTACTTTAATATTATTCTCCCTTGCTTAGACATGAGCGACGTATTTCAGCTTATGTCATCGTCAGAGTCCTTTTCAAAATACGTTCGATTTAAACGGAAAGAGGTTGCTGCATATGACATTTAATAAAATTATCGGAATATCATAGGACAAATGTGATCAACAGTAAAATACACTCTGCTTAAGCAAAAAAGTAAAATTGCTAATGTACTTCACGAAACGATAAAAAATTCGAAAATTTGGCCTTCTTGTCCAGTTTTTGCCACTCATTTTAAGGAATAAGGAAGTGATCTCAGTATTATGGTATCACATACTTAACCTCACTTAACGTTGTGCATATCAAATATACCTCGGTGAACAGTATTCAAAATAATATTTCTGTAAGTAATCAACCACCTTCACAAACCTTTATACAGTCACAGTACGCCGTTGAAGTCCACGCAACGCTGAATGGCACTGAAACGCTGCAGGCCGCCCCTTGTAACATGTTCTGTGGTATAATAATCTCTGAAATTCAGGTAAATACTTGTTTGGTGTTACAACTATACACGGGATAAAAATAGAGTTTACAACTTGGTAAATTGTACTCTATTCTTCTTTTGGGCTTTGTCCGTTTTCAAAATATTACCTGATTATAAAATTACATTCCGGAAGCTGAATTTTACTTCCGCCATAAAGTAAAAGTGAAGTAGGAAGAAATACCTTTTTTGGGGGCCCCTTGGTTGAGTTAGTTTCAAACCGGGTCCAGACAGACATGTTTTATTTAATCCTTCCTCGTTTTCACCTGGGGAAGGAAGCAGAAACCAAATTCCGCAATGTTTTAATTTTATAATTTGAAAATATTTAGATTATAAACAAAGCACAAAAGAATAATTTAATGGCGTGCAACGCACCGTCGTTAGAAACCTTTCAAAATTCGACTTAAACTCTGTGTGTGTGTATGTGTGTATGTGTGAAAACCTTACTCGAAGACTTGTAACCTGCCGCCATCTCTACTTCTCTCCCACACTGCACTGAATCCACCAACATGGACAAAGCCCATGATGATGACGGCAATACTCGACACCACCATGACCACACCTTGCAAGAAGTCAGTCCACACTACTGCCTTTATCCCTCCCTGTAGAAATAAAACATATGTAACTAAGTTCGTACGTTATTAATAGAGATCGCAATGCATTACCATAATAACATAAACGCTTATGCTTTCCTGCGCTTATTGTAGGCATGGACTCCTGAAATATCATATGAAACTAGTAGACTCTGTTAAATTATTCACTGTTGGCAGTGTTATTTATGTTTCCAAGGGGTTATGTATAATTTGTTTATACATTAAAGTTACTGAATAACATCAGAATCCTTAAATTAACATATCTTATCATGAAATTAATACAATAACCGGTCCGTAGAGAAATGCATTACAAACTGTCAGAACGTCAGCCATACAATTTGTCTAATACATCTTAATAATGTATCAGTCACTCAGCTCAGCGAGCTGAAATGTACATCAATTATTAACATTTTATATGTTTTTAACTTACCTTACAAATTCCACACAACACTTTATATTTCTTTATCATTTATTATCAAACCAGTGTAATTTTTGATGTTGCAATTCTATTATTTTTTTTTATATATATATATATATATATGTCGGAACACAGACGAACACAATGCACAATAACACATGTACTTTGCAAATACATTTTGGAATGTGAACCGATTACTTACCAGCATGGTGTAGAAGATACAAATAACGGAGATAACCGGAGTGATGTGATGCAAATTAAAGCCACTTACTGTAATAAAAAAAACACTAATCAATAAAAAGTGTAATCAATCCACTGAGCTTTTACATTATTTTTTATTCATACGTGGTACAATATTAATACGTTACAGGCAGGATAACTCAGCTGAAAGATGATCATTTTGAATGATAAAAATAACCATTAGGTAGAGTATCCTTACTAGGATTTGGAAGTCAATAAATACTGTCTTTTGGTTTCTGTTTAAGTAGGGCATGTTCAAAGTTGATCCAACAGGGTTAAAGAAACATTTATGCCAATTACAAAATTGTTCGTTATAGTTTAAAACATAGAAACACAAAAATATTTTGTTCTAAATATATGCTTTTGGTTGTTTCGTGTTCTCAGAGTTTTAGGTTAAATGTCTTGGCCACTGTCCTAACCGAGATATATCTTCCTTTCCCTCAGCCCTTACACTAAAATATTGGAATAATGCGTTCAAGTACACCAGAATTGCTTCCTTCCAGATCCTTCCCCGTTCATAACTCTTAGTCATGTTACAATTCACCGCCATATAAATTTCGCTCTTGAGAAAGCGCCTTCAAATAAAAAGGATCATAATCCGCTCTGTACACACTCGGACGCTAGGTTACACGAGAGTCTGAGCAAAGGAATTATTTTTAAAATGATCAAATGTATTCGTCCTGCTTATCTATCTGATCAGTGATATTTAGGGTGATATAATATATACCGGTACTTAACTAAACTTATAAATATACAGTATTAAATATAACTGCCAAGTACAGGCAAACCCAAAATAGAAACAATATTAACACAGAGCAAAAAATGAAGGAATATAAATAAAAACAAAATAATCCACGTAGGGAACACTAATATAATTGTAACACTTTACAAAATATAAAAAGACAGATAACCAAGCTAGATCATTTACCTTGTTGAGAACGTTCGCTCAAGGGAGACAATGTTTGTGCTAAATACGTCCAAAGATTTACATACGTCATTTGCAGCGATGACGCACCTGGCTGAAGGACTATGCCTTAGTGCCCTGCTCACACTAAAAGTAGAAAATTCTCTTATTTGCCTCGCCGGCACACGTAAACCAACAGCGTCCATAATGGGATGGCAATTTATTTTGCCCTTAAATACATTAATAAGAAATAACGCATCGAGATGTCGTCGTCTGGAATAAAGTGTTCTAAAATTTAAAGTAGATAGGATCAGTTCATATTTTCGGGGGATATTAAACTGGAAAAATCGGTAATTGCATAAACTGGCAAATTTTCTTTGAATATTTTCTAATTTATTAGAATCTGTCTGTGTAAGATTATTCCAAACGACCGAGGCATACTCAAGCTTTGACCTAATTAAAGCATTATATAAAACAACAAGGCTGTTATAATTATAATGAAAGTAGAGTAATTTATGTCCTTTGATTTTAGTAATCTAAAAATTTATAATAGTTATTTCCACCTAATTGAGTTTAATTTAATTTAAATTAAATTAGGTAAGTGATTTATTCCCTATTATTGTTATTGTGTAGAGTAAAATTAAAGTTTGTCCCACTATGCGCCATGTAGGCGTTTGGGGGGAGAGGAGATATAGCTCCTCCCTTTCTTGATCTCGGCACTAGATGGGGGTGAGTGGCCAGCATCACGTCCCGGCCGGCTTTACCCCCGGAAAAGGACCCTGGTACCCATGGGATAGGAGGCTGGGTGGGCCCCAGAGCCGGTCTGGACGCAGAGGCTAGAGGAAAAATCCTCTCCCCCCTGTTGGGGATCGAACCCCGGCCGTCCAGCCCATAGCTAGTCACTATACTGACTGAGCTATCCCGGCTCATTATTGTATACAGTAAGATGTAATAATAAATTGAATCACAGAGAAGGAATTTGACTCATACGAACTTTATCGCACTTCAAATTTCAGGTTCTCTAATATCATAGGTTCATCATCCTAGGAACATTTTTCAGATAGTATGTGAATAAATTATGCCTAAATACAGTATATTAATCACACCATTCCTTAACGTGTGGGGTCTGTACAGCAAATATCATGACGCAGATCAGTTGCCGAATCTGTCATTAGAATCATGAGAGGCAATGATCTCCTCCCCTCAGCTATCATTACGAAATTAAAGAATGTCACTGTAAAGGTATCGTTATTTAGCAGTAGAGTAAAAAGTAACAAGAAATGCAGTTATAAAAAAACAAGAATAAAATAATAATATTGAATTTTTTCATAAGCCTACATCAATTATTAAACCGTGATCTAATTAGTCTTCATGATAAAGTCATTTTATTGTTACTTTATAAAAAACAAGAAATGTTTACTAAAATATTTTCATTTAATGACATGTGTTTCAGTTTTATAATATTAAAGACTGCGATTTGAAGTTCTCTTGTCAGTGAAAATTGTACTGTATTCTTCCAAGTTGTGACGCAGTGTAGTACTGTAAACAAGCAGACTTTCGGAAGAACTTTCTTTGTATATTACTTTCTTCTGGGATGTTAGGTCGTGCAGCCTTGTTGAAACTGACGGACGTATCAGAGGAATGTTACACCTATAAAACGTCGGTAAGTTCCTATGAGACTACACGATGCAACATAACATAAGACAGTCACCTATATGATCGTTACCATAAGACCTGAATCTCAGGATATACTTTCAAGATGGAGGGAAAATACGTAGGCTACAGGATTTACTACACACCCCCCCCCCCCCCCCCCCGAAGACCACGCACAAATCACGTGTCACGAATGTTTATCTTGCGTAAGCAAATGTAGTAACCTACCTTGACTGATTGCTAAGGCCGGGACGTACACAACAATAGGAATGTACAGTAGCAGAGAGATGGTACACAACACCGAAGCCATGATGCGAATTCTCTTGTTAAAACGAAGCTGCAAATACTGAAAACAAAAATAGTACAATTAAATTTACTGAATTCTTATGGATATTTATTTCATATCGAGGTACAGGGATAATAAGATTAGTAGTATCTATACAAATTCTACCCACATAGTCTCAATATAAACGTCTATATTTGAAATATTTAAATTACAATGTCCTTACCTCCAATAAACAAAGTGATTAATCCAATGTGTGTGAGAAATATTCAGCTGATATTACACGCGATTTAATTGTTATGTATTTACTGTTTATTTTAGCACGCTGTCAGTAGCTTATACTGTATATCATGGAATAATAAGACGATACGTGATTGGAAACAAGTTAGAAGGACTGAGGATAACGACATAAAACCTCAGCCAGTCTGCGGTACGAGATTTGAATCTGTAAATGTGTAGCTGATTACAGACCAAACTTTGGTCTTAGTGATACTTTCCATAATTGGCTTATACAAAAATATTTTTCTGTATCTTCCATATTAAAATTAATTTTAATATTTTGTGTTTAAACTTTTCTAAAGCTTCTGTAAAAATATTCAGGTCTTTAAAATTCTGTCTATTGTGGTTTTATGGGTTGTGAGGACGAACGTATCACCTCCTTCCTCATGGTTCTACCTCACCCATTTTCTACACGGCATCACAACCTTGAATATAGCAATAGGCAA